AAAAGCATCTTCGCACGGGCAGCCCCTGCGTTGGCCAATTATTCTGCATTGCATAGCTGCAAAAAACGCACAAAAACTGGAATTTTTGTGGAACTTAGTCTTCGAACTTAGTCCTTAGTCCGTGGTTGTGTATGTTTTGTATTACTTTTGCAGAGAAGCGTGGTCGAAAAAGGATCAAGCGAGGAGGTCCTGAAGGTCCGGATGATGAGCGGATCGTGATAAGCAGTGTGAGTGGCACTGTTTCATTTTGTTCCTGCTTGACTCACTATACTCGTTTTTCACTTTATTTGTTGAACTGAGTAGAATATTTCAGAACACATCCAGTTACTCGCCAAACACTGATTCAAACAAAAAGAGTATTACTGAAGCATCTCCACTGTCTTCATACACATCACCAGGAAATACATCGAGAATAAGCACCGGAATCGCCGATCCGTTGAAGACTCTGCCCGAGAAGGAAACAAACAGTGTGGCTAGCAGTAATCCCCCGCTGTTTTCATTCGGCAAAAAGGATGATTCAGTTAAGGATAGGGAAGCACCAGCTCTACGTTTTGGTCAGTGGCCTGCGAAGGATGCGGGGGACAACACGAATACTGAAACGACGAAGTAAGTGTTTTTTTGTATGTTTATGATGAGTAGTGCTTGACAAAGATTCCTTGTGATAATGCGTTTGGATGTTGCCAATTTAATGTAGAATTTCGATTTTTACGTTCTTATCGATTGTATATTTCTGTTTTCGTTTAATACCTTTGTTTAGTTTACTCTTTTTGAGAGACGGAGGCACTCAAAAGTAGCCTGAGCAAAAGTATCTGGTACCAGCAACCCCTCGTTGGGAAGACTGTTCAAAATTCCCTCTTACAAGGAATACAATCTGATAGTGGCACCTTGGCGTACCAGTTTATCACTGGAATTAATGGACGGTTCATTGAGGGATTGGTTTATTTCAGTCAAGTTGGCTTGAGCAAAGTCACGAGATCGTAAAGTGAAGGCTCAAAACGCAGTATTTCTGCTGTGACCTAATAGCGTGAGATTTGGAATACAACTTCAGCAGTAATTTACTACATACAATATTTTTACTTCAATACTTTCAGAGAGCAGTTCGGAGATGTAGCGTCCAGTACTGGAACAACTCCTGTGTTTTCATTTTTGAAGCCACCACTAGCTGCTGATGGAAACGCTGAAGGAGCGGCAAAGCCTCCATTTGGTACCCCAATTTCCTCGTTTTGTTTCGATATTTCTTTGATTAGCTGTCGTGTCAATGTGCGCATCCAATTTGGTATTAAATTGGATCAGTAGGTGAGGAGATTCAGTCATTAGTAGGACCGCCCGGACAATCGATGTGGTCATCCCAGTCAGTTGGGGGTGTTCCCGTATGTCGAACAGAGCTCTGCTGTGCTAGACCCTCTGTTCTGGTAGTTGCCTACCTGCGATTAGGGCCTACCAGCAGCTCCTTAACGACATATGTACTCTCTGTTTTCACAGAAGTCGTCGCAATAGTGCCCTTCGTTGATTACTTGCAAGCTGGAGGTGCAGTAAGAGCCCAGATTGCGTCTAATCCTTTTTTGTTGTTTTTCGAATATTTTTTATGCTTTTTCAGCTTTCACATTTGGTGCACCACCCGCAACAACGCAACAGTCCGGACAGAATCAAGAGGGTAAGCAGTTGCTGATGCATTCTTGGATGCTTATGATTGTAGTGTGAACCGTCATGCTCGTGCATTTTTGCAGGTGAAGAGGAGTACGTGCCACCTAAACCAGAGGTCGTATTGACAGAGGAGCCGAATGCGATATTCACAGCCAAGTAATACTTGCTTTGCTATTTTGATCAGAGCCTGCTACAATCAGTTTTCATATAAAACCAGACCGTTTATGCTAGGAAACCTCCAAGGTGCAAAAGTAGTCTCTTTATTTATGGTATACAGCACAAATCCGCTGTCAGCAGTGCTTGTTGAGTGCGGTTTCGCCAGCTCTTCTATACTTAGCTACATATATTCAGTTAATACTTGCCGGCTGTTGAATGTTTTTGCGTCACCCTTAATTGGTCGTTTTCCCTTCTTGCGGGTACCACAGTTGCATTATATGCCAGTGACAGCAGTATCATGCACGCTTTCAAAGTAACGTAACATATTTATATGGAACGACACTCCAAGCATCCTTCGCTCCATTTGCTTCCCCCCTCCACCCCCGGCCCCCCAGCACAGCCAGAGTCCACTTTTCTTTTTTGGTCAGTGTTTGACATCTGTGCTGTGTGGAATGTAGAAAGTGGAGAATAGGAGGAGAAAGACTTTTATTTTTATAACGTTTTTTTTTTTTTTTAGATGCTCCGTGTTTGTACTAAAAGAAAAAGAATTCCACAAACTTGGTATTGGGCAATTACATATCAAAAAAGGTGATAGTGAAAGTGCGAAAAAGATATTACTGATTCGCGCAGCCACCACTACGGGTAAGCAAGTTTAACGGGCAGCTCTCTCTGTTCGTTTCCTCGTTTAAGCAATATTATCAAAATTTGCTGAATTTAGCTAGAGTAGAAATATTTGTTCCAAACCTCAAGAACACAGTATTGCAGGTACTGTTTGGGTGAACACGTATATCGATGAAACGATGAAATGTGTAAAATTGGAAGGCAACAAATTAAGGGTATGCGCTCCTGAAAAAATCACATAAAGGCCTTCGTTTTTGGGCGGCAGTTATGATATAAAAATATTCTGGCATTTAACGGAAGCGCCGTGTTCATTTTCTTGCGAAGAGGGCGAAGAGAGGAGGGGGAGCGGGGAGAGGAATTTCAAAATTTATAGAGCTTTAAGACTGAATTCAGTCCATCTCGGATACGGTTGTTGTTGTTGTAGGAGAAGGTAAGAGCTGAAAAAGGGGATAAAATAGCCGGAAGCGCACATATAATTAATTAGAAATGGTAGAGAAGGAGGTGTATTTTATACACGGACTAATGTAATAAGGTTACATTTAATCGAAGGTCAACATTCATTTGCTTTCATTCGCGCTGCATTGCCAGTCCACCTCTTTTTTTTTCTGACGTTCACTGCCTTGATAATATCGTTTAATTCAAATTGGAAATAAAATTTTAGATGGAAAAAACGGCAAATTGCTAGTGGGGCTGGTAGGAGGGGTTCTCGTACAATAAAAGAATCTGAGTTTTTTTTTCCGGCTTCTAAACTGCATTTTCGAACTCTTGCTATAGTCGATGCGTGGTGGCTGTTGCAGTGTTGTCACGTTTACCACACATTACAGGGTTTCAGTTTAGTTTTTGAGGAGCAGCAGCATATGTTTTTCAGGTGAGCTGTGTTGTGGGTAGTTCTCCATCAACGTATTTGGTACGTTTGCCAACAGCATCGGACTGCGCGAAAGTTAGTGAAGAAATTGGCTCATAGAGCGTGAAGCTGCATCCGTGATCCCTTCATGTGATTTACATTGCTTCGGGATTTTCCCCCCTTATTTCACAGTTTGATGCATTCTCTCACTTCATTTCGAATAAATTTCATCATTATGAATTTGTTTTTACTTTCGAAAAATTCATCCTCTGAGCGAGAAGAAAACAAAGAAAATGTTGAACGGCTACATGGAATGACATGGATGAGAGCGAAGCAACGTAGAGAAGAATGGAGAGAAGTTGTCAGCCCAAGAAACGCGTGATGAAACAGCAGCCAGTGATCAAAGTTTCAACGAGCACTGATAAAACGCAAATGATTTGACAGTACAAAACAGTGCTTTTAGACAAAACAGTCGAAAATACATGAAACAAACGGCTCACTTCTGTTATACTCGTGATTTTCTCCAGTGACTGCGCAGAAACACCCATGCCACCGCGTTCTCTTTAGTGCTCGCCTCCTCCACAATTCTCCATTTACAAGTGCTATCGCGACCTTAATAGTTTGTGCGTTGTGTGTGCCCTGCGTGTATGCGGTGGTGTGTATATATTGGTACATCCCCATCTAATGTTATAAGCATTTCAACAAAATAGCTATTTCTGCTTCTTGTAATTTTCCGGTTGCTTTGACTTATTGCGCGAGACTGTGCCTAGATTGGTGCTGTTACTCTGTTTTAATTGACCACTTTCACTATGTGTTTCGCAAGCCGAGTGGAAGTAATTAATTATAATAACGCGGCAGACTGCTGCTGCTGCCAGCTAACCTAGCATCCTCTGAAGCAGAAATTATCAGCTTTGGGCTTTTTCCGATCGAAACAGCAACACTTTAGCTGCTTCCAGAAATCCCTGGTGTGTCTTGATGAGCATCGCTACCCCGTCGTCGTCGTCGTCGTCTCGAGGGTCCGTTACTTCTAGGCCCCAATGAGATGTGTCTCATCGTTTTCCTGCTGAATTAAATGATTTGCGTCAGCCGAGCTGCACTAGTCGGAGTGGTTCCTCGGTGGATGGCCCGCAAGCAGTATTCATTGATTTCTACATAAATGTTGGGTGGTGTGGACTGACTGTGTGTGGCCTCGTTTTCGCGCAATTTTTGGGCTTTTTGTGTCGGGGGCTGGTTGGTACCTGGTCGGATGGGTTCGGGGTTACCAGGGTGTTCGAGGTGTGGGCATTGGGTGCACGTTTCGTCTGCAACTCCAAGATGCGGGTACCGTGCCGTGGCCAGGAAATGGAGCAGGGGGACTGTGATTTGGCGCAGCAAGAGGTCGATGATGACCAGGAGGACAGCACAGCATCTTGGCCAAGGGTACCACTATTTCGGCGAACGGCTGCATGTCACCCTTAGGAATACGTGGAATGCCTGTTGTTAATACTCAGCTACTGCATCACTTAAAGTTTCTTGCATGATTACTGCTTTTGCCCGCGTGCAGTGCTCTGGCAACTCGAAAAGCCCGCGCCGAAGAGCAACGGGGGGCTGCTGGAGGGCTCAGATCGCGCATAAGAGAGAGAGTGACTGAGTGCTAATGGTGCGCAGAGGAGACTCTGAAGCAATGAAATTTAGAAGAGGCTTGTGCACGGCCAAGTGTTCGCTGGTGACTTATGCTATGTCGCGGACAGGTGAAACGAGGGAGGGGAATCCCCTGGCGCCGATTAAGCAGGAAAGCATTACATTCAATGTTTACAGCTAACGGATGAGACAGAACTTCTGCTGCCTCGTATGCCGGCTAAATAGATGAGTGCATTGTTCGAAAGGTCCAGCCATTGTTTTGAAGCTCGGCATAGTGTGAAAGGATTCTCTGTTAATAAGAGGTGGTCTGTTGATTTGATCTTTTGCCGATCCGTCGTCCTTTACTACTGATCAGCGACCACGTCATGCCAGACATCTGCTATCTCCCATGTTTCTGATTGAGGGTTTTTTTTTGCAGGAACGCACCGAATAGCTGCTGCTACACAGCGAACGGTGAATCAAGCGCACGTCAGGAATGTCCAGCAAAGGTTCGTTTTGTGTTATGTGAAGCCATGCAATGTGCATTAGTGTAAATTGTACGAGTTTTTACGTGAAATATGTTTTTGTTCATTATAAATGTTAAGAGATTAGAGGTAAAATATCATATCTATACCGATGGAAGTGCTGGAGAGGCGACTGTGTTTCATCCCTTCGCTGTAAAAATAAGGGCAGGGAACAGAGCAGGCATGTAGGAGTGGGAATCATCAGTACAGCATCCGGGATATTAGGATCGGAGATGGCACACTAAGTACCGCAGATGCCAGTGAAAATATTGGAACAGACAGTGCATAACTATCCCTTTTATAGCGGTAATTTCTGACAGAACAAAGCGTGCAGGTAACCGTAAACTGTGCTGACCACCCCCTCTATTGGTACTTTACTCTACGTGAACTTCCCCATCCCAGTAGTTTGTTAGTTCTTGAGCGCATAATTCAATAAGTGTATGTGTCTGTAGGAGACAGAGAGCAGCTGGCTGGTAGGCAGATGTGTCGTTGAGAGTTTCAAAATTGTAGGTGGTGAAGCACAAGTTGCGACACGAAAACGACGCTTGGAAGAGAACAGCGAGAACAGCGAGAACACTCCCGGGCAACAGGGCAATGGATTTGATAAAATCGCATTTGGTTCGGCTGGGGGCTACGACACGGTAAGCCCTCACTGGTTGCTTCTTTCTTGTTAACACAGTTAGTGATGATGATGATGATGATGATGATGATGATGATGGTGATAGTAATAGTGGTGATGAGAAGTAGGTTGTTGTTGATGATAAGGACAATGATCAGCGCTTATCGCTGATGGTGTTGGTTGTTGATAATGTTAAAAGTGCATTGTGGTTAAGCGCTGTTATTGTATTTGCAGGATGTATACGGCAGCATTCGTGGGCAGCGCAAGAATGATTACCTAACATCGATAAATGCGGGCGACGAGGAAGATGACGTTGAGGATGAGCTGGTGGGACCGATGGCTGCCGCAAAAGCTGCTTACACTGCCCCGAAACGTTTCGTAGAGGAAACTACTAAACATGCACAGGTAAAGCTCAAAGCCTACCAAGGAATTCAGCCGCAAGTTCGCATGTGGGCTTTATTTGAGACTAGGAACAGGAAGAAGCAGTTAAAAGGCGTAGTTTTCCAAGACACGTAACTAAGAAAACGTGTTTTTCATGAGGCCACTTGAGGTACCATTTCAGGAAGATTGGAAGGAAAAGAGCGGGGGCGGGGGGGGGGGGGAAAT